AAAGGATCTCTAAGATCATCAGCCCAACCATCAACCCAACACCTCCATGCCCACTAAACCATGGCCCCAAGTGCCACCTCTGCCCGTGTTTTGAACTCTTCCAGGAATGGTGGAATCTGGGGGTACTTTTTGGTTTTTGGCAATGTTTTGCGCTAAATTGAAACAGAGCCACAGCTCTGGGACAAAACGAGGGCTCTCGCCATGAAAACGGGGAAAAACTCTTCTCTAATGAAATCTTCCCCACTGCTCCTAAGAGCTCCGGCTGCCTCCACGGTTCCCTGCGAGCAGCTCTTCTGTTCCCTGGTGCCGAAGCCGGGATCGCCGTGTGGTCATGCAGCGGGATGTGCCCTCCTCTCCGGTGAAGGATGGCCAGGATGCTCTCCTTCGTTTTTTCCTGGTGGATAAATACCTGGCAAACGAGCGTTGCTGTGCCAGCGTAATCCCAAGGACGGAGCCCTTCCCTTTCCCTCCTGCTGCAAGCCCCGTGTCCGTGTTTGCCCCTGGGCAGGGGTGTCCCTGCTCGGGGCAAGGAAGCGCAGGGGAGAGCTGAATTTTGCTCCTTTGGCTGGTTTTCGGGAGGCGGGGAGGCTGGATAATGGCTTTTCCCCACCGTTCACGCAGAACTTGCACTTCTGTAGCGCCGGGTGGGCGTGGGCTGAGGAATTTGGAGGAGCTGCGGGAGGTTTTCCCCTTCCTTATGGATAGGGAGGCGATGGGGGTGTCCGTAGGGCCCTGGGTTTAGGGGGCTGCTCCGTGCCCCGCGTTCCGGCCGGGCGTTCCTGTCCGTCTGCCCAGCCTGCCTTCTTATTATCTTCTCCCTGGAGCAGATCCTGCTTTGATGGCCCTAGCAGCGTATTCCAGAGCAGGAAAACCTCTGGATGATCCAGTTCCCTCTCTCCCATCCTTAAAAAGCTTTGCAGTCGCAGAGCAAGCCCATCCACCTCCATCCTGCTTTACTGGTGACCAGCACCTTGCTACTGGTCCGGCAGTGCCTCGGCTAGCCGGGCAGGCTCGGAGGGAGCCGGCGATGGGAAAGGCGCACAGTTGAGCCTTTCGGATTGGGATTTTGTGGCCTTGGGAAGAAGCTGCTTTTTATCCAGGTGATGCGCGCCGGGAAGCAGCAGCCCTGGGGCTGCGTGTTCCCTTCTCCGCAGCCCAAATCATGCAGCGGGTGAAGGAGCGGCGGGCAGAGGTGGTGTCAGTGATGAATAGCTGGCGAGCCTGGTTTGCGTACGGAGTCCCCGTTTAGGAAAACGGCTTGGGGAAAAAAACGCGGGGGGGGGAACAGTAAAAAATATGCTCTGACTGATAATTGCAGAGCATCTCTGTGAGTTCCCTGCGAGAGCCGTTGTCCCCGCGGTGCGAGCGGCAGCAAATCCAGCCCCCCGCCCGGGCCGCGCTACCCCCA